TCAGTAAAATAGTTAAAACACCAGTTATTATTATTGTAAAATAATTTTCAACATCTTTTTTTTTTAAATTCCTGTTAGTTCTTGACTTCGTCAGTTAGGAGTTCTTGGCACTGAGACGTCGCTTTGCTTCGTACACGTGCTTAAGCACAAATACAACCGAACACGTCAACGATAAGTTAAATTAACGTTTATTGAATTCCAACACTTAGTAAAACGTACAAAACTATTAAAGCGCTATAGTAGCGCTATCAGAGGAACAAAACTGTGTCACATATATATAATTCGAATACACATACATTTAGTGCTTTACGAGTGTATAGTATACTAAAAATGCGCAAAAGCGTTCATAAAAAATTCTTCACGACACCGAAATGACTTAAAAAAAAAATCACAACTAAGACGTTTTGAGCTTTAAAGACGACACCAAATAGGAGAAAAAAAACTTTATTACAAATTATAGACTAGCCTTTTTTAAATCATAAAATAATCTCTGATTAATAATTCTGTTTTTTTTTCAGTGTTTTCAGTGTACTTTAATAATAAGCTGACAGCCAATCGTGCAAACGCTGCTCATTTTTACCCGTTTTTACAATATTTGCGTTATACTTTTGTAAATACGGTAGTCCCCTTTCGTTAAAATGACTTTAGTAAATAATTTAAGTATCGAAATACTAAATCACTTCTGATTTCGGTTTGGTACATGTACATGTACTTTATAGTATGAATAACCAAATATCATTTTAGAATACAAAGTTGTAGAAAGTGCGATAGGAACTACCGAACTACCTTTTTTATCTGCTTGTGTAGTGCACGTTCACCATAAACACGTGGGCTAAAACTGGTCACGAGCTGAGGGCTTGTATTATTCAGAAGACAGTGATACGCATGAGTTATGTACAGATGATACTTATCGCCAAATATATCGATTGAATTATTCTATCAAAAATACGTACATATAAAAGTATAGGCACAATAAATTTCATAATCAATAGGTGCAAATACTATATTTTGCGCTATTATATAGTTATGTGCGATCAGAATATAGTATACAATAAAGTTACGAATTATTTATAAACGTTATTATTAAATAAGTTTGATAATGCATTATTAAATTATTCATTAATAATAAATTAAGTGTAGTGGTTTATAAAGTAGGTAATATACCTTAATATAAAGCTATGCTTAGGTAAAAAAAGCGGTTTACATGAAGTAGATGGCCCGAGGTACGTCGGAATATCCGGGTTTTCCTTCCTAGGGTACACCTGGTTCCCCGGCAACTGGTACTCGAGACGGCGTGCGGTTTTTGGTCGGTTCGAGTCCGACATAACTACCGGTAGGTAGTATCCGACGGGATTTCTCCGCACAGAAAAAAAAGCCGTGTGGTGTCGCGGGACACCCGATAGGAACGAAGTTGTGACGATCGAGTAAAACTGATTCGACACGATTTTAATTACAACGCCATCTATGAAAGCGGCTATTACCTACGTAATTTTCAGTTGATTTCTAATTTAAACAATTTATACATTGGTAAAATCTCCTTGAGAAATGATGTCGAATACAATATTTTTTACTCAACCTAAGAACATAAATTATAATTTTACTGAGATGAAAAGTAATGATTTCCTATCTATTCGATAGATGGCGCTGAATGACTGACAAGGGACAATTCAAACTAAAAAGTGTCGTTACAAGTTTTCGTGAGAATTTTTACCGTCTAGCCCCCTTTCACAACGCGCGATAAGGAACTTCGTTACAAAAAAAAGTTAAAAAAGCATTTTTATCGATACAAAATAATGAATTTTCGTGCTTTAGCTATCTCTTTCTCTTTTAGTAAAAATGACATCACTTTACCTCTTTTTAAAAACTGTAAAGGAGGAGGTTCACTCCTCCTACAAAGTATAAAATAAGAAAAATAACATTAAAGAAATTAACGAATAATTTAATAAAGCATTTTGAAACTTTGAATTTAATTTTTCTAAGACGATTTTTAAATAGATTTTTTTACAAAATAATACTGTCACCAATATCATTCGAATTCAATGATCACAAATAGGTGCAGGAGGTATTATTATTATTCAAATTATCTTCTTATTCAACGCGATCTCCCTTAATATGTAACATGAAGCTAGCATGTACTAGACATTTCGCCGACAGAATTTACATAAATACACAGCTAAATATCATATTATATTTATTAGAAAAATACTCAAACAACTGACGTCACATGTTTTAAGAATGTATGTACTGGGGTACATTCTTATAATTGTTTTTATATTTACTGAATGGTGGCCGTATCGATCTTTACACTAATTTTAGATGGTATTTTTAAGATAACAATAACTAATTTATTATATAAAACAGGTAACTAATTACATTTTTGGAGCAACACATACCTCGAAACCTGTTCCAACATGTCATGTATAGGACATTATACTTAAATAATATAATTTACCACCTTCTGTGTCACTACAAATCAGCTTTTCCCTGTTTATAATTTCGCAGTTCGGTATTTTTCTAACAATCAATTTTACCAAAAAAGTCGTGCCTTTACAAATACATCATACAATACTCGTGAAATATTTATTTAATAAGGCAATGTTTTATAGACAGCACTTACATTTAGAGACAGATATTAAATACCCGCTAATAGGCAAGAAATTTAATGTTATTTGTCAAATCTTGCTCGTATTTGTACAATTTTGACAAAAAACATCAATTACTCTAAGAATAATAATGAAGATTAAAGGGAAAAATACTAGGAGAGAAGAAACGGTAATGGGTGTAAACCTAATAATTTAAATCTTGAGCATTGTGAAGCTAAGCTCGTGTGTTTAAGCTTAATATTAATATCAATATTTAATAATGTAGTGTACGTAATACATTTATACAATAATTTGACATCTTGAATAATAATTAATAATGGAAATTAATTCACAGCCCAAATAAAAGTAAACCTAAGAACAACTAAAACTAGAATATAATATTGGAATGATACATATTTGTCCTAAAACCGACCTCTATTAATTACAGAATATTGCAAGCAAATTTAATTAAAATATATCGTAAAAAAGTTTATTGAAAGACTTAAAATGAGATCATTTAAAAAAGGTCGGTGTTAAGATAATACTTTTTGTAAGAAACTCAAAAAAGACTTTTATTCTAGTTGGAAATTAAAATAGCTAATACAATATTGGTGCTAATTCTGTTGTTCGAAAACTCTCTAAACTAAACTAAACTAAAAATCGAAAAAAAAATTGTCCCGTCAAATATTACGTTTTCAGAATAGGAAACGTAGTTTGACAGGACTAAACAAATGTTTAGTGATTTTTAGTTTAGTTTAGATAGTTTTCGAACAACAGAATTACCACCATTGCCATGAAACTTTTGGCACAGATCTGTTAAAATGAAACAATATGTCAATCGGATGGTGCTCACTGACAATTTTCTAAGCTAACCGCTTATTTCAAGTATTTTAGTGATATTTCGATACACAAGAGAGAAATTTTACAGAACACGGCTTAATTCTATACTTAGCATCGAACATCATGAAATCAAAAAGAATTTTGGAAGTCGGTAAATACATAAAAAAAAACAGTGGAATATGGAACTTCTTCCATTTTGCAGTCGTTTAAATATGGATTCTAAGTTGTAAAAGTATGTAAGAAATTTTTAGTAGTTTAGGAGGCAAACGAGCACACGGGTCACATGATGGAAAGTGACAACCGCCGCCAATTGGGCACTTGCAATTAAGAGACCCAACAGTGTTTGAGTGCACCACCCCCTCCCCAGAGTTAGGGACGAGAGCGGAAGGGTGGTTCCAGTAGTCCACATTTACCAAGTTGAAAGCAAAAAAAGAAATTCTTAGCACCGGTTTTTAGAGAGGCCGTGGTTTTCCTCCGGCCGAACAAATGTATTTGTGGCGAACAGATTTTCATAAGTCGCTTTCAATATCATGTATCAATATAGCACAGTTAAATAGTAATTGATTCATAGATGACAAACAAACATACAATATTATATAAAATCGTCAGGTATAAGAACAGTATATAACAATCAGTCTCAAGCCAATACATGCGGAATCCCAATCGTAATATAATTAATAGATATACACCAGATGTAGGCTTGTTTACATCTACAGACGACACAAACACAAATTACTCAAGACTCCTTGACACAACTCATTACTGGCAAATTATTAGCTTGGAATATGTTATGGTACTCATTATCTTTATTTTCGTTACCATAAACAACAATTTGTGTCCTACAGTCACTACTCGTATTGCCCTTGGAAATGTCTGTTATTACTCAATTCCAAATGATATACACTAAATTAAAGAAAGCAACATTCACGCAATTATCATTACACTTGCCAAGGAGCTGGTTTAACTTATGTCTGCAGTTACAAACAAGCTTATAGTACCACTTACTGCTAAAGTCTACCAAAGAGTTGGTCCGTCTGTTAAAATATAAAATAGAGAAGCATTCTTTAAATATAAAGGAAATATTCATTCAAACGTCGAAGCGTTGAAGCCCTTAAATAAAATAGCGCAATAGAAAGATTTTTTTTCTAAACAATTGTGTGAAATATACGAACATGACTGCAATCACTATAGACGTAGAGTTCATTTCACTTTGCCACATTAACAGGTAAGGAACTCAATTGTCGACAGTTCTTTGATTCCGAGTATAGTTAAGATAAGAGAATGGAAGTTGAGGAAATTGCTGCTAACGGCAAAGCTCCAACGTTGAGTGTTGAGAGCATGCGATACACGCTGAAATGGGCTATATTTTCTTCTGCTCGGCTCTGTGTGAGCGTTCGAGCGTCTTCTGTAGCAACAGGCAAACATGTGACTTGTGGACGTGTTTTGTTTCGTTTGAACTTAGGTGAAATAGTAGGAATTTTAATTTGGAGCATACGAAGTGGCCAATATTTTGAGTAAATTAATTAAAATGTCTCCTATACCTAGCTCGGAATCAAAGAGTCATCGAAATTAGCCAGCTCATATTCTTGACATGATCATGTACTGTCCGTCGGACAGCAGTTCTCTTGTGTCGCTCGGCGAGCCGGGGCTTAGGCTGGGCGCCACTGAAGGTGAGGAGTACGTGTCTTTGTTAAACTTGCGACGATCCGTCTCAGAAGCCACAGAGATTTCTTCTTCCGCGATTTGTTCTAAGGGCAGCTCGCGCATTGCGTCACCGTTTATAGCTAAAGCATTTACGAAGCCATGCACTCTGTCCGGCGGTGGCTCAGTATATGTCTCGGTTATAGTGTCCGGCAGAACCTCGGTAGCTCGTGCACGACGCGCGTTCTTTGTCCTCATGCCTCCTGTCTCCGCGTCTCTTTCCAATCTATGTCCCGAACGGGACCTCGTCAGTTGTTTTTGAACATATTCTTCCAAAGCATCCTCCTCACTCTTTGTCAAATACTTATGCAGCACAATCAAAAATATGCCGATGGTTAGAGCAAAAAGTCCAGAACATACTAGTTCATTAAACCAGCTGACAGAACCGATGCTGCTCCAGGAAGTAACGTTATCAGGTAGCCAGCCGGATGCAACGAGGAACAATCCAAGCACTAAAAATACAACTCCTAGGTGGAGCATACCGACCGAGGAGACAACTTCATTTTCGGTGGCCCTCGGCTTTCTACGACGTCGTTCCAAGCTGCCAGTGGAGCAGTGTGGGGAAGTGACTCCTGATTCTGAGGACTGGAGAGAGTAGCGCCGCTCGCGGGCCCGTTGTTGCTCGGCGCGTCGTTTTCTCTCGCGGCGGATGGCGAGCGCCGAGTGCAGGCCCACCGCATGCATCCTGCAAGCACGGGCACGGGTGAGTGGTGAGGTCACCTCGAATCGGAAACGCAGCGTCCACCTTCCGGCGGGCGTTGCGTTGCCGACTCTTGCAGCGCGAGGCGTGGCCGCAGGCGCGGGTTGCCGCACGCCTAGCGGAGTACCACCACCCGTGCCCGTGCCTTATCGCAAACTCGTAAATTTAAGGAACGAACTTGAATATTAATATCAGAACAATGTACAATATAGTGGACTGTGAGCGGAGTGTGGACATTTACTTAAATAAATTTATTGTGCACAGTGGGACTAAATGTTTTTTTTTTGTCAAAATTATAAAACACCCTTTCGATTTTAAAGTTCTTTTTTGAAGGAAAATTGGTCCGGAGTTGTAGTACGGCTCTGGGGGCAGTAAAATGCCCTCAAAGTACCCCAAAACGCTAAATCGCCTGTTCTTCTTACAGAAATGTTACGATTTTTTTAAAACACAAATGAAAATGAAAATCATCCCTTAAGATTCTGTAAGAAAAACAGGCGATTTCGCGTATTGGGTCACTTTGGGGGCTTTTTACTGCCACCCTGGACTACAACTCATTACTACAACTCCGCACCGTTTTTCCTTTAATCTACTATTCAAAACCTATCAAAATAAAAAATAAAACTTTAAAATCGGCCCACGAGATCTGGAGTTTTCTAATTTTGACAAAATAAATACCCATTTTGTCCTGCCGCCGAGAGTATACAAAATACAACAAATTTCATCAAGTCCATTCCTTTTTGTTTGTATACATACGAGTATTGCAATTATAAAAATGTTATATAATCTAGCAGTATTGATTAGATGAGTACAGTTTTAGAGTAGTATTCCTACTGTTACGAGATATTAGAAAATTTCAAAAACTATGTGTTTTATGCCATTTGTTGGCTATCGTTTCAGTAGTTATCTGAGATTAACAACAAAATCAAGTGTTTGGGTTCGATTCCTATGTAAGACACTCATACAGGTCGTAAGGGACATCGTAACGAATACTGAAATAGTGTATTCAGACTGTAATTCTGAGACGAAAATCATTGGAATTTTCCATTTTTTTTGGTACCGCATACGGTCAAAAACTGCAATAATTAATCAACCATCTGAAGCGCGCGGGGCTTCCCCTCCGGCCGCCATCTTGTGTTAGTGTACGTAGACTGTTTGCACGGAATACACTTATACTTTCGTGCGTTTCGTTATTACTTTCGTGCGATACCTACCTGGATATGACCTATACCTTTGATAGCTGATTGCATAAAAAGTTTACTTTGCCAGCAGAAAATTCCAATGATTTTAGACTTAGAATGATGGTCTGAATACCGAATACTGAATATATTTCAGTATTCGTTACGATGTCCCTTACACCCTGTATATACATTACTTACGCAGGTTAATTAGTTTATGAAAATGAAAAATAAGTAGATTACTGTTATAAAAGTGGCTATAGTAGAGCACAAGATCGCAGAGCACACAAAGTAGGAAACTACCTATGTATATCCTATATATAGTAAACACTAGCTGACCCGCAAACGTTGTTTTGCCGTATTCATTATTTCTAGGATATATCGAAAATAAAAATTTTGGGGTAGGTCACCCTTGTCATTTAGGGGTATGAAAAATAGAAATTGGCCGATTCACATACCTACCCGATGTGCACACAAAATTTCATAAAAATCGGTATAGGTAAAAAATGTTATTTTGGCATATGTACCGTGTAAACATACATATGCATTTAGTAAAAAGCGGTTATTTTAATATTACAAACAGACACTCCAATTTTATTTATTTGTATAGATAATAACAGTAGAACTTAGATTTTATTTCATAATAAGAACAGCCTTTATTCAACAATCTTACATAATAAGTACATTTTGTTATATCCTAAAAATTAAATTCAAGTTCTAGGTAATCTTCTCGAAACTGGTGTCATATTACTTAAACCTAATACTTTTAGACTGAATAAAGGCTATTAGTGTTAGATTTTATTTACTTGTCAGTAAATAAGTTCTAAAGGTCGTGACGAATTTGAACATCATATAAAAAAATATTTATTTACTGTATTATAGGATAGCATAAGGTCTTCAAGTTTTGTGGAATTACAGATTCACATTTCTGTTAGAAACATCGTACTAACAATGTGAAAACGACTCTTTTCAAATCGTAAACAAAGCTCTGTTTTGAGTTTTCCCCAACAATAAATATTACAGCGCATTCAAAACTGAATACAGCTTCCGAAATGATAGCCTCAGTGAATATTTCAATGTTATTGTTCTGAGGAAAGTTGAAATGTGGGTTTAGGTATATTTTGCGATTAAATTAATTCAATTCTCTATTTAAAACATTTTCAAGAAAGACAAGGCTATTACTAAAGGCTATTAAGATTATTTAAAGGTTATTTTGTAGGTTTAGGTTTATGTTTTTAACTTTATACATTTTACCTGTTTTAAAAACAAAAAACAAGAATGGGTGTCATGTCCCTCTAACACAATGGAACGATTCTCCGACTAGGCGACGTGAAAATTGAAAAGGTCATAACCTCTGGTATTACTCTCTTAATACTGCCTCATTTCAATGCCGATGTTGAGTTGAGAGACTACAGGTATAAACAAAGGAATAGAATGAAGTTAAATCTTATATCTGCTATGTTAAGAATACCTTTAAACGGATCATCATCATCATCATCAACAGCCTTTAACAGTCTACTGCTAGACATAGGCCTCTCCTTATAAAGGAGGTTTTGGCCTACTATACCACGCTGGCACGACGGGTTCGTATAGGGTTTGTTTCAAGTTTTCCTTCTCTTTTTAAACGGATAGTTTATTTTAATTATTTTTAAAACTGAATGCCAAAGACAAGTAATATAAGTGTTTAAAGGTAATGTTCCAATTTCAAAAACATCTGTAAGTACATACATATATAATTTATATTACAAATTACATACATATATTGTAAGCGGTGGCGTCTCAAAAGCTCGCATCTTGTCGACTATAAGACCATTCACACGTATACAGAGCATGTTTATTGTCGGTCCTTTTACGAATAAGAAGAAGATATGTGACGAAGAGTTGGAAACATGGGAAGGTAACGACAGTGCGTGTAAGTCAAAGTCGCATTGCTGTAACTCGAACTCGAAATACAAATTAAACGTACATAAATCATTGGGAAACGGCTAGTAATATTATCATTTTAAGTTTATAGCTGAGTCGAGCCCTATTTCTAAGCCAGAGGCTCATTCCTAAGTAGTTTAGTACATCTACTACATTTCCTGCCCCCCTTTAGCGTTGGAAGATAGCCAGCTACGTTTATGCTATTAATTATAAACAGTCATGAATAAATTGCCGCAATTGTAACCAACCAAAAGCACTATTTACTTTTATCAGATTACTGTAAAAAGTGTGTGTATGTATAGAATGAAATTATATGTGATTGCTGTAGAATAAGATATTATGAAAACAAAACACGTGCTACATTCACTCCCCACCACTTGGATAATTGGCGATCCACCACTGTGAGCTTTTCAAGACACTTTTTGCCTCGCACAACCAATCTGTGGAACAAGTTATCGGCTGCGGTATTTCCGGAAAGATACGACATTCAAGAGCGTACTTCTTCCTCAAAGGCTGGCAACGCGCTTGTGACTCCTGAGTTGCAGGCGTTCATGGGCGGCGGTAGTCGCTTTCCATCAGATAACCGCGGCGGAAGAGTTCCGAGAGTTTTATGTAGTGTCGCTGTTATTTCAGAGTGTTGAAGTCTTTCTATAGGTGAAGATAGTTTTTAAATATCTTCTTTTTAATGAGTTGTAAAACATAATAAAAAAAAAGTGAGTATCATAATCTACGGTGAAGTATGGTAAAAGAGAACACGTTTAAGTCTTTCTATTATTGATATTTTAATTTTGGTTCAGGTCAGTGCAATGTCGAACAATTTTGGATGATTCTTATATGGCCCCGCTCACTAGTATTCTACGTTTTAACATATTTTTGGTCATTCTTTCTCAGAACTGCACTCCTCATTGACGAATCGATTTGATGGGCGGACGTCAGATTAACTTTGAACATTTTTATGACTGTATTTATTGAACCGTTTACGCAATTTTGTGAGCGTACGTAATAATTTTAGATATAAGATGTTTGCCATAGAACGGATGTTGTAAATATCTAGCAAGGAAACTGACCGAGGTATCCTGTTATAATAATAATGAATTATAAATACTCGTATTAGTGGCGAGCCGAAACCATCACTACAATGTATGTATAAATTAATTTGCATTGTTATTTAAACTTTAATGATCTATACTTTTGTCACTATTTCTTATTTTCTGGAATTTCATTTTACTAGAATGAATTGAGAGCTCTGTTTCAGTATTCCTACTTGTAAGTATGATGTCAGAGAAAGCCCGTTTTCTTAACCTTTGATTGTCTTTCGTAAGCATTAACGTCTAACAATGTTCCTAGCAGAAGTAACTAAAAATATTATAGTATTTAGGGTGGGCACAAGTGTAACAACGAGCTTTTTCTGGCTTGTTTTAAGACTGCTTCTTGGCTGGCCCCAACCCCTTCTTGAGTATGAATTTCATGTTTTTATGCAGGTTAGAAAAATGGATGGCGCGAGTTCAGGATGAGATACCGGAAGTATTATGAAATGAAATGATATATATTTCTGCAAGTAAATCTTTTCAGATATTTTTACAAGTCGGAACTTGTGGATAGGAAACTGAACTGAGACTGCAGTAGCTTCAAGGTATTCAGGCTGCATATCCGTGTGTCCGTCCTGTAATTCCAGAGGCAAGATATTCAAGTGCGTTGCCCCTCTGTTTGTGCTTCCTTGCCAAATAGAGGAAAAGGGGTCGGGTCTCTCGTAACCTCACTCAACCTCACTCACTCTCTCATATGGTGGAGAGCAATGAAAGAATTGCTTAACACCGGTTTCCTGTGAGTAGGTTGTAAGTAGGTAGTAGTAATACTCCGGTCGAGCTAGCCCTGATGTGGCGAAG